CTGCTGCTGCTGCTGCTGCTGCTGCTGCTCCTGCCAGCTTGTGCTCTGGAGGCGCTGTAATTGAAGCGGATTCGCGTTTGGTGGGCACCCATGAAAGTTAAAAAGGACTTGCAAGGCTGGCTCAATACCAGCAGTCAGATCTCTTCAACTTCTCAACACCAGCCTTACGATAGCGACGACGAGATGGCACCTGGAGCAGAAGCTCGTGCTGCTAGCAGCGCAGCTGCGACTTTCGCAATCGGCCATACACCCGCCGAGGACTGGCCTGCTTTCCTCTCTTTGGCCGATGCTAGGATACGCAGCGGCAGTTCCAAGGCGCGCACATCGTTTCTGAGTGGAGGCTTGGTCACTGCTGCAAAGTCCAAGTGTGAGTGCTGGTGCAAGTCCTTCTCCTTTCTTGAACGCAGAGCCTGATGCGAACCGCATGCGCTTTGGTGTCTGCAGCTGTGTCATCTTCGCAGAGAGCAGAGCTGCTGGCTCGCGTCCTCGACACCTACGGCCGCTTCTCCGATCGATCTTCTCATTTGGCAGCATTGACGGCGGGGACAACGCTGCTTCGATGCGATGCTTCACAGGCCAGGGCGAATTCGGAAGAGCCCAAGGGGCTGCCTATGAGATACGCAGTCGGCTTTCTCTCAAGGGAGGCAGAACGGCTGTGCAAAGCGACGGGTTCAGGACCCACGAGCGCCCCTGCTGTCAGGATTGCTCTGCTCCGCTGGCTATGCGCCGTTTTCGCTACGCTCGTGGATTCGTTCACCAGTAGCGGCACTCTCGAACAAAAAGATAACGCCAGTCAATCACCGTATTGGCAGCCTCTTGTATCCAACATTGCCCTCGTGCTGGACTCACTGCTTCGTGGTGATGATGAGCTCAAGCCCTCGGGACGAGTCTCGGTGCTGCGGATAGTGAGGAAGACGGTCCGAAGTGTGAGTGTCTGCTACGAGGTCCAGTGCCGCGTTGGTCAGCTCAGAGTGTGCTGAAGCGCCTCGCTCCACTTTCAGTCCCATGCGGAGCTTGCTGCCCTGATCCACACAATCGTATCTACACCGACAGGTCCAGCAGCTTTCAGAGCAGTAGTCTTGCTTGGAGTAGTCACGGACGTGGCGTTGAGACTGCGGTCCGGCCAAGAACTGCAAAAGGGCAGTTCCGATGGATTTGGTCGGCGCACGCTCAGGGAGGCCAAGCAGGACATTCTCACATTTTACACCGCCAACGTCATCTCCTCCAAGGTGGCCGTGCCTGAGCACGTCCCCGATTCGCTGAGAGACTTTATCGCCGCAGAAGTGACAGAGGAGGACGTCACTACACTAATAAGACCTCCTTTGGAGAAGATGCTGCTCAGATCACCCGAAATTGCGCTCCTTCCTGCAAATGCTTTCTTCAGCGCTTATCATGGCGACTTGACACCGCACCTCAAGGGCCTGCAGGGTTCCATCATGTCCGCTTCGAGATCTAGCGCGCCGGCAACTCGGGCGCGTGCAGTCGCCTTCTTTGGCACTCTGGTCTCGCGCACAGAGAATGCGACCGCCATAAAAAATGTTTCGGAAGACATGCTCAGCATATTAAAGGCTGGCAAAGCGAGCTCGCCCGAGCAAAGAGGGGCTCTCTTTGACATGCTTGCTGTAGTCAAACCTGCCTCGGACCAATCTGCCTCGATCACAGAGGTGATCGCTGCGGTCCTGGGAAAGGAGAACAACGAAGCTGCGATGCAGGCTGCTGTGCGAGCCATCACCTCTCACACTGCTTGGCTTCTGAGGCAGAGCCAGGCACCGCCGGCATCGGTGGCGACCTCGCTCGCCAAGGAGCTTCAAAATCCCAAGATACCTCTGAGGAAATTGGTCTGCATTGGCGTCGGCGAGGCCTTGTGGGGCTTGCCTGCTGGAAACGCAACATCTGCCGCTCTCCGCTTTGGAGAAGCACTCCTGCCCGGCTTCGCCTTCAATCTGAAAGCCGCAAGTACCAGTCCATTGACATCCCAGTCTGGACCTTTGGAGGGCTACATCGCCGTAGCTGCGCTCACTGGCCGGATGGGCGGATGGTCTTCAGCAAAAATCGACAGCTTCATCGCGGACAATGCGGTGATTCAAGGGATGGCAGTAGGCGGTGCCAAGCCGTCTTTTGTGCTTTGGGACAAGGTCTATCGACGAGCTACGGGCCTCGAAGAAGAAACTTGGCACGTGCGAGCTCTAGAAAGTGTCATCTTGCACTACAGCGCCAAGCTTGCGGGCGATCAGCCCGCTGGGATTGCCGCTGCGTTGGCATTGTCTCATTGCGTCTTGTCATCCAATCATCGCGAGGCGTCGCAAGCGGCGGTAGAGTCTGTCAGGCACATCGTCGAGCGCGATGCGGCCCTGGGACCGCAGCTCGTTCACCTAGGCCTCTCCACGTGGCTCGAGGCTCGGCATTCTGCCGCACCGACCGCTGGCTCATCTACGTCGGCGTCGACGGATGCAGAAGGCGTGACAGTCAAGCCAAAATCGTACCAAAGGATCTTGAGGTTGCTGCTGCAAGCTACAATCCCTTCAACAAATGACATAGCCGAAGGCCAATGCGAAGATATCCTGGTGCGATTCTTGGTACTGGCGCACCATCCCATCCTGCAAGACAGGGATCGAGATCTTTTCGTGGATCTCATGCTCCGAGCCAAGGTCGACCCTCCCGCTTTTGTTGAGCACAAGCTAGCACAATTGCTGAGCTCTTGCGACGAGGCCAAGGACGTCCCGTACCTGCGCGAAGCTGCATATCCAGCAATGTCCACCTTGGTCTTCATTGCGCCATCACTCGTGCCTCAAGCGTTGACGAGTCAAGTGATCACGAATGTGGCCAAAGACGACCTGGCAACTCTCACTCAGCAAGACCTAGGGATCTGGCACACTCCTCCAGGTACCCTGTTCGTCGACATTCTTGCGGCCAAGAAAGATAAGCAGGCAGTGGACAAAAACAGGAAGGACGCGAACATTGAGGCTTGGGAAGCAGAGCTGCGCGAGTCGATCGCTCGGAAAAAGGCAGCTGCTAACAAGACCTTCACGAAAGAGGAGCAGCGAGCCATCGATACGCAACTGAAGCTGGAAGCTGAGGTTCGAGCGCGAGTGACGCTGCTGGAGCAGAAGCTGGTGCATGCTATGCGAACCATTGATAGCATCGTCATGGCGAGGAGTGAAGGAACGCACGAGGTCATTTCGACCCTCACTCTGCTCGTCTTGGACCTGCTTGCAAGTCCGCATGCGATTATCATTGCGAATCAGCAAATACATCAGGCATTCACCTCGCTGGTCTCTGTGCTCTCTCCTCGTCTGGCAGAGTACGAGGCATCCTTACGTCTTGCCCTTCTCCGAAGCGTCGACGAAGAGCTCATCTCGGAGGACTTGCGGAGAGAGCCGCTTGGCGACCTCACTCTTCGAGTGCTGTATCGAGTGCGCTTCGTCAGCGAAGCTGCTCCGTTGGACCTGGGCAGCGTCTCTTTAATCAGCCCCCTCATCACACGCGTTATCATTAATGGCGGACTCGGTGTGGCAGAAACGGACGCTGAGAGCATCGCTGAACAGGTTCAACTCGCCCTCGACTTTATGGGCTTCCATGCAGCAGCTTCCGAGGATTCGCGCTTTCCTCGCATTCTCTTCGTAGATAATGTTGTGCACGTGGTTGCGAAACATACCCAGCTCGCGCAAGAAGCTGTCGCCATCTTCCGATCTTTGGGAGAAGCCATCAAGACGAACGCCACCCCGGCGGAGATTGCCGTCATTCTGAGGCACACTCTCGCTGATGAGACTTATGTTCGCTCTGGCAGCTTGCAGGCTTTGCAGCCGCTCGACCTTACGCACATGGAGTACTGTGTCGAGCTTTGGGTTGCCTGCCACGACTCTGACGGCGAAAATGCTCGTTTGGCAGAAAAGGCTTGGGAGGAGAACGCGATGGACGTGCCGAGCTCTTACATGGCGACGCTTGTGCCTTTGCTCGAGCATGAAAACAACTTTGTGCGCATCGCTACCGGAGCAGCCCTCACGGAAGCAGCGCGCCTTCATCCCGAGTCGGTCACTGCCCTGGTTGGAGAGCTTCGCAAGCTTTACGACTTGCGAGCCGTCGAGTTGAAGCCCGAGCTGGACATGTATGGTCTTGTGCGGGACGAAACGGTAGGCCGTGAAGATCCTTGGCGGGCAAGGGCAGCTGTTGCGCTCGCCTTTCAAAAGCTCGCACCCCTGTTCAACGGCACGGATGTTGAGCCGTTCTTCGACTTTTTGATTGCTGGAGGCGCGCTTGGCGATCGCAATGAGGAGGTTAGACAGAAGATGCTCGAGGCTGGCACAGCCGTCATTGACGCAAGAGGCGGGGACACATTGTCAGGGCTCATACACATGTTTGAGAGTTACCTGTCTCACCCCACACCTGCCTTTGAGCGAGACGACGGGGTGACGGAAGCAGTCATCATTCTGTTCGGACGCTTGGCACGCCACCTGGAGCCCGCGGACACGCGCGTCACACAAGTCGTCGATCGACTGATCACTGCCCTCGCTACTCCATCCGAGACGGTGCAAGTCGCTGTGACGGACTGCCTGCCACCGCTAGTCCAATCTCTGGGCGATGCGACCTCTCCAATGGTCGACCGTCTCTTCGCCGATCTCATCCATGGCGAAAAATATGCTCTTCGTAGAGGTTCTGCATATGGTCTGGCCGGTCTCATCAAAGGGCGCGGTATCTCGAGCATCGCAGAGTATCGCATCATGCAGCGACTAGCCGATGCGATTGAAGACAAGAAGAATGCGCAGAGCAGGCAAGGAGCGATGATGGCGTACGAAACCTTCTCTGCCACCTTGCAGCGGCTCTTCGAGCCGTACGTTCCCAGCATTCTTCCCCACATGCTTGCCAGCTTTGGCGACACGTCGACGGATGTGCGCGAAGCCACGCAAGATACAGCACGTGTTCTCATGACCAACCTTTCAGGTTACTGCGTCAAGGTCGTCCTTCCGACGCTGCTGGACGGCCTTGAGGACAAACAATGGAGAACAAAGAAGGGTGCAATCGAGCTTTTAGGAGCAATGGCTTATTGCGCCCCCAAACAACTTTCTGCCGCGCTGCCAACGATTATTCCAAGCCTCAATGAACCGCTTAAAGACTCGCACACTCAAGTGCGACAGTCGGCCGAGCGAGCCATCAAGGGCTTTGGAGAGGTCATTCGCAACCCTGAGATCAAGAAGCTGGTACCCACCCTCCTCAAAGCACTCATCGACCCAAATGCAAAGACGGCCACGGCACAGTCACGGCTGCTCAAGACTACCTTTGTGCACTACATCGACGCCCCCTCTCTGGCATTGGTGATTCCAGTCATCGATAGAGGCATGCGAGAGAGGAGCGCTCAAGTGCAGAAAGACGCCGCAAAAATTGTGGGCAACTTGGCCAGTCTGACCGATGCCAAGGACTTCACACCTTACTTGCAAACCTTGGTGCCTCTGATTCGGACTGTGCTGGTGTCGCCCGTTCCAGAAGCCAGAGCTGTCGCTGCCAGAGCTCTCGGCACCTTGGTGGAACGCCTTGGGGAGGTCTACTTTGTCGAGCTGGTGCCCAGCCTGCTCCAAGTGCTGCGCTCGGATGCGACGGGAGTGGACAGACAGGGCTCTGCGCAGGGTCTGGCCGAGGTGCTGGCAGCGCTTGGCATGGAGCGCATGGAGTCGTTGCTACCCGAGCTGATTGCGCAAGCGAGCAGCAGCAGACCGTACGTGCGTGTCGGACATCTCACGCTGCTCATTTATCTGCCCGCCACCTTTGGCGTTCGTTTTGCTGTGCACTTGCCACGCATCTTGCCGCCAATCGTCTCGGGCATCGCAGATGAAAGCGAGAGTGTGCGCGAAGTGTCCATGCGCGCGGGTAGAATGGTCATTGCTCAGTACTCGTCCGAAGCTCGACAATTGCTCCTTCCAGAGCTCGAGCGCGGCATGTTCGACGAGAGCTGGAGAGTGCGTCTCTCTTCCATCCAGCTCGTTGCTGAACTATTGTACAAGCTCAGCGGCATCTCTGGCGCGAATGATGTTGCCGATGACGAAGAGGGCGGCGAAGGAAATGAGGAGAACGCTGTGGTAGGCAATTCGATCCAGCGCCAGCTCATGGAGTCCCTTGGCAAGGAAAGAAGAGATCGCATCCTTGCTGGCATCTATATCCTGCGCCAAGACTCTGTCATCAACGTGCGCCAGACTGCGCAGAATGTTTGGAAGACGCTCGTCGCGAATACTCCCCGGACGGCTCGCGAGGTGCTTGCAGTGATGCTGGATCTGATCATTCAGGTGAGTGCACATTGGTGTGCCAATGCAAATGGGCCAGCTGGACTGAGCAGCGTCACCTTACTTTGCACAGGCTCTGGCTGCCGAAGGCGTGGAGCAAGGAGAGATGGCCGGAAGAACGCTCGGCGAGCTCGTTGCAAAGCTGGGAGAGCGCATTCTTGGAGAGTGCATTCCTCTCTTGCGGCTCAAAGGCGCCGAAGCATCCGATGCGCAGCTCCGGGCAGGTGTCTGCTTCGCTGTCACAGAAGTTCTGTCGGCAGCAACGAGATGTGAGTGCACTGGCTCGGTCATGCGCTCGCCCGATGCTCATCAACTAGACTTTGTCACACAGCGCAATTGGATGATCACGAAGACAGCCTCATCGCCATTGTTCGTCACGGCTTGGTCGACGAATCTGCCAAAGTACGGCAGGCCGCGGCGTCCGCATTCGATGCTCTGCAGCGCGTCATCGGACCTCGAGCTATTGACGAGACCATCCCAACCTTGCTTGGTGCACTACAGGAGGGCACCGGAAGCTCAGAGACTGCACTCGCTGCCCTCCGCGAAGTCATGCGTGCTCGTGGCGACGTGGTGTTCCCCGTGGTGGTCCCCACTCTCACGAAGCAGCCCATCTCTGCCTTTAATGCCCGCGCGATCTCTGCCCTTGTGCGCGTTGCAGGCAGCTCGCTCACCAAGAAGTGCGTATCTGAATGGAGTGCTGCACCAAATCAATGTCATCGATCCAAAGCTGACTGTACCTGCATTCTATCAACAGATTGTCGAGCATTCTCGGAGCTTTGTCGACCTCGCTAGAGAAGGAAGCGGATGAGAAGACGCGATCCGACCTCGAGGGCGCAGTTTCGAGCATTCTGAGCTCGGTCTCTGACTTTGAGGGTCTGCATCAGCTTATGCTACTCTTGCTCGGCTGGGCAGGCGATAATGACAACCCTCAGCAGCGAGTACGAGGCTGCCGATTCTTTGCCACCTTTTGCGCTGTCAAACGTGGCGATGTCGATATCAGCGACTACCACCAAGACTGGGTGCGCCGCCTACTGTCGCTCTTCGAAGATCGCACATCGGAAGTGGTGGACGAGGCATGGACAGCTTTGGACGCGCTGCTCAAAACAGTTCCAAAGGGCGAGGTTGAGAATCTCGTGGTGCCCATGCGCCGAACACTCGAGACGACTGGTGCACCGGGAGAAGAACTGCCGGGATTGTGCAGACCAAAAGGACCTGCGCCCCTGGTGCCCGTCTTTCTTGCAGGCTTGCTAAACGGGACGGCCGAGCAGCGCGAACAAGGAGCGTACGGTCTGGCCGACATCGTGGAGCGGACGTCGGCGGACGCGATCAAGCCATTCGTCATTCAGATGGTTGGTCCGCTGATCAGAGCGTGCGGTGATCGACACCCTGGCGCTGTGAAAGCTGCAATTCTGGTCTCTCTCACAACCACCCTGCGAGTCGTTCCTCAACACACCAAGGCATTCCTTCCTCAACTTCAGCGTTCTTTCCAAAAGGCCGTCTCGGACGCCTCTTTGAACGTGCGGTCCAAGGCTGCCACCGCGCTGGGCGTGTTGATGGCGTTGCAGGCGCGTGTCGACCCAGTGATCTTGGAGCTCGTGGCAGGATCGCGACCTGCTGTGGGAGGACCTGCCCCTGCTGCGGCAGCGAGCGCAGCTGGAAGTGCCCAGACCGGCCCGGTGCCAGATGCAAAGACGTTGGCAGAATCATCACTCTCCGCCCTTGCGCAGGTTCTGGCAGCGGCACCAGCGAAGAACATTGGTGCTGCGGCTAGAGAAGCGGTGAGCGGTTTGGTGGAAGAAGCCTTTCAGGAATGCGCTGCCTCCGGTACCAATGCGGTCAAGGATGGAGCCAAGGTGGTGCTAGCCGACGTGTTTGGCGCACTCGTCGCACTGGCCGATCCTCGGACTGCGGAAGGAGCACCGGGAACGAAGCGCATCTTTGCGGATTACATTTCGCAAGATGCACCAGAGGCGCAGCTGGCAAGTCTGTGCTTGGCTGCGAGCTTGGAGAGAGCAAGCGAGCAGACTTTTGTCATCGATTCACCTACCCGCTTGGCTCGTGCGGTGGGTCACTGGTGCACTGGCGACGCTTCGGTCGCGCGACCTGCCAGACAATCGCGAGATATCATGCAGGGTCAGTCTCCTTGGAAGGACAATGCAGATGTGCTTGATGTATTGTAAAGATCAGATACCATCGAAATGGCCGAGCAGAAAAAAAGGCAAATAGCCAACAAGTGCAAATGCAACCTAGAGTCTGATCCTATCGTCACCATGGGTGCTGATAATGACTCGTCACTACGTCCTGGTGCCACATGGAGAGACAAAGGCATTGGATAAATGAAGGTACATTCACATTACTTGATCTCCATTGCGTTTTCTG